AATACACCTTCCCTAACCACCGGGATCTGGCCTTACGTTATCACAGTCACTACGCTGCCTCCATCCAACTACTGACCACGCTTGACGTTGCTGAACTAGTGAGCGGATCTTCGGGTTATACCGCATCACTGGAAAAGCTAGCTTGAGAGTAAGGCAGTATTTGTTAACACTTGCTAGTGTAGCGGAACTGGAATGGGTCGATGTCGGCGACCTACTGTCTCAAAATTATTTCAGAAAACCTTTTCGTGGCAGAGACAAAACAAAATTATACCATGAGAAAACATCGAAAATCAACGTAATTTTAAATCCGTAGCTAGCTTAGATTTCCATGCGGTTTGGGAGTGCTACATTGAATGTTATATACGTCTCTGTTCCAGGCCATATTTCCTGTAGGTATTTCAACTTTGATATAAGGTGAAATATAGGATAGGAGAAGTGCATTGCATCACAATTAGGTCACAGTGACCGACTTTCTCAGAAACATTAGATACTAACAGAAAACTGTCTCACACTAATACGGGGATCTTCAGCTTGGGCATGAAGAATATTTCAAGAGGGAATGCAGTGTACCATAGTTAAGTTACTGACCTGATTTTCTAAAATTATGTGTTCTAACGGAAGATCACTTGATGGATGATCATCAAACTTTGGCCTCTAGGGGAAGGAGGTCAATTAACCATAATTAGGTCACTGCTACTTATTTTTCCATTGAATATTGAGGAAAACATTGCATGGCTTAAATGTCCTATTGTACTTTAATTCTAAAGAATAGCCATGTCTGACTTTTATCTCTTCTTGTCCACAATACTTCAGGAAAGATCTGCATCTAAGAGGGAGAAAGCAACCATATTTAGGTCACAGCGACCTATCTCCAATCTTGTTTAGATACTAAAGGAAAACATTGTCTGGCTTTGCTCTCCCATAGGACTTAGTGGAGAATTCTGAAGCATATGGTCATAAGATTCAACTCAGGATGGCCCGAACTAATTGCCAATGGTCAACTGCACAACAAATAAAAACGTTCAACAGCGATGAGTTCCAGACATCCTCGATATCCAGTGGTTACGCTCTCTTTCGCCGTCTGCACCCCTGGAATACGTCTTAGTAAAATTGGAGGCACACTGCTAGCTAGATGTACATCAAAGGATCCGACCAGTCTTCTCGTCTCATCTACAAGGTGGCGCACAATGAGCCTTCGAGTTTGCTATGACATATTCCAGGGGCGCAGAGAGCGAAAGTGAGCGTAACCCCTTGAGTATCGAGGACGAGTTCCAGAAGGATGAAACAGCTGCATGCTGCAGTGTAATTTATTTTTGACTTACTGTATCCATTACCAAATCTCGTTGGTGCAGTCACGTGTGTGTGTCTTACCTTCGCCTCATATCTCCTATGGTATTAGCTTATTTGGTTTGGTTTGTTTGTGTAAGGACGTGTAGACCAAATTGGACGATGTAAAATATATCTCGAATGTTTCTCTTTATGATAGGGTTTAAGCCCGTACTACCTGCGTCACATGCACAATTGCGCGCGCGGGGACACATATATAGGTGACGTACCTGTTTTGTTTTGTTTCACCTGGCTACAGACGTGCCAGGCTCCCGGAAAAAAACCCACCGACCTACGGCTAATACCTGGCGACTGCCCCACGTAGGCCTCGAACCCGCAACCCAGTGGTGGAGGGCTAGTGGTAGCAGAATGTCAGACGCGGATGAAGGGTTGGAAATCTTTCATAGAAGGCAGTATAAGCCACAATCACCTATTTGCGGAATGTTTCAGCTAGTGGCTCCCCATGCGCCGGAGAATTTACGGCGACGCCATGGGCGTAGTGTCCGCACAGGAAGCAGAATCTCTTGACATGTAACATCAGTTCCCTCCTCACGCTTTGGATTGTCTGAGCTGTGCGTAGAACACTATTTCATGTAGATATATAAAATAAACACGCTTAAGCTTTTTGTATCAATAAATTTAATGAAATTTCTATGAAAAGACTTGCCAATGATGACTCATAAGACTCCGGAGATTTGTTTCCAATGGGATCCTTTTTCCGTCAAATAGTAACAACTGGATATGTCGTTTAATCTATCATATCTAAAAAATATACCGTGAAATAAAATGTTAAAAAATTGTTTCAAATAAAGTTTGATATGAGTATTCCAGCTCCATATATCGCAATATAAAAGATGTATAAATGTTAAATAGTTACATTCGAAATACAATTGACATAAAAAGCTAAATAATTTCAAGAGAAAGTATTTTTTCATGGCTGTTTTGAATAAAATTTGCATTTGAAATTTCTTATATCTACTGATTAATCGTTCCATAATTTTATTCCATATTAATAAAATATTTTAGGAACACAGCATTTTGCATTTGGTACTTGAGAGCTAATTTCACAGCTTTGGGTATACTGTAAATGTACTTATTTTAGCGGACTCAAATTTTAGCGGTTTATCGAATTTTAAAGATTCTTTAATGAATTGGTGCAATAACACTCTGTGCATAAGGATACTATGAACAAAAAAAATCATTAAGCGCAATATTTAAAGACGGTAAAAAGCCGCCGAATTAGAATACCGCTAAAACATGTACATTTACGGTCGCATCTCTTCGTATCTGTTACTTTCTGCACATGTTCAAGCATGTAAGATGGACAACATTTGAGATATCTTTCTTACATGTGTGTATAACAACATAATGTACTTTCTAGCATCGCACACGTATTGTAAAGGTCCATCCTAGTATCATAACTTGTATTGCATAAAGATATGACAATATATTTACATTTGTGCTGCAACCCACTGTTCCGTCTTTGCGTATTGCAGAGTTATCTTCTCTTGGGAGCAGGTTTTGATTGTTACGTCATTGGTTTGTGCGAGAAAATTACTTCGTTTTCTCAAAAATTGATGACGTTACTCTCACAAACAAGTGATGTAACGATCAATACCTGCTCCCAAGAGGAGATAACTCTGCAATACGCAAAGACGGAATATGAACATTACAAGCAGAAATGCATTTCATTTGATTATGAAAGCAAAAACGCTCGTGACGTAACACGTGGGTTACTTATGACATTATAGCTTGACCTTATTCAATGAAAGTCTTGTCGCTTCGCTTCCGATAACATGGATTGACTACGGTTTAGTATTGGCGCCAATTGTATTGAAATAGGGCTGTTCCGGCAAATGTCCTTTAAAAGACGACGCATTTCCAAAACCCGTTAAAAAATAATTTAAGAACAACTAAATTAAATTAAACAATCGCTCTATAGTTAAAATGTAAATATATGGATTGAACGTCATTTTTAAATGTTCATGCCGGTATGAGCGCAAATCGGTTACATCCATATTGATCATGACGCCCCTATGGATGTAACCCATTTGCGTTCATACCGGCATGAACATTAAAAGAAAACGACGTTCAGTCCCTATGTAACAATATGCAGTATATAAAAATTAATAAGCAATGCATTGATTTTATATTTCCTCTCAATCCTACGAGTATATATTCGGTCTTTGCGTATTGCAGAGTTTTCTTCTCTTGGGAGCAGGTATTGATTGTTACGTCATTGGGTTGTGTGAGAAAATTACGTCGTTTTACTCAAAAATTGATGACGTTACTCTCACAAACAAGTGCCGTACCAATCAATACCTGCTCCCAAGAGAAGATAACTCTGCAATATGCAAATACGGAATAGGCCTGTGACCGATTTGCCCAAGGTAGGAAAGGGGTGTAAATAAATCCAATCTTACACGTCACTTCACGTTCGTGACATCACAATGGGACAACAATGGCAGGACGTCACTAAATCGGAACATTCTTATGCCTCGATTAGCAAACTGCAACGATAATTGGAAGTTTCTGAGCTAATTCTGATGAGAGAAAAACACCCTTTCAAACCAAGGGTTGTAGAATAAGGAAAATTCCATCCTTGGAATTTTCAAATTGGTGCAAAAACCCTCGGCACATCCTCAGGTATAACTAATTTTAAAAAACCTCGGGTGAAGTTTTCCTTATTCTAAACCCCTTAACATGAAAGAGTATTGTAATACAAACCAGTCATATATACTTATATGTTTATTCACATATTATACAATAGAAACAGAGATTTGACTGGTATCATCCAACCATTGTTGTCGGTATTGAACAAACCTCTACTATGTAAGTGATGTATAGCCATTTTAGCATTATGCTGGTACCTTACACATTAATTAATTCCTGCAAAATGTCAATATTGTACATTCTCTTCAGCAGTATTGGATATTAATTTCAGTTCTAAATCAGCATTATGCCTGTACCATACTATATACATTGATAATCATTATACTGGCAATATATTCAACAGTGGTGGATTCAGAGGGTTATTATGGGCTTCAGGAAACCACCACCACCCACCCCCACCCTGATAATTTTCTTTAAAAATCATGTATTTTCACCATTTTCCTCATTCCTGTTGTGCAAATGCAAAACAATGAATAATGACAGAATATAATATTGAGGCATCTTGTTTTCCCACAAGTCAGTCTCTGTGCATAATAACCCAATATGCTGTACTGTCACTCACACGTACATCGGATATTGATATCGTCATTTAGCCGTACACTGGATATTCGTATCCTCATTCATACGTTCACCGGATATTGGTATCCTCACTCACACGTGCAACGGAAACTGGCATCCTCACTCACACGTACACCAGATATTGGTATCCTCACTCAAACGTACACCGGATGTTGATATCCTCACTCATACATACACCGGATATTGATACCATACACTGGATATTGGTATTCTCACTCACACGTACACCGGATATTGGTATCCTCACTCACACGTACACCGGATATTGGTATCCTCACTCACACGTACACCGGATATAGGTATCCTCACTCATACGTGCAACGGCTATTGGCATCCTCATTCACATGTTCACCGGATATTGGTATCCTCACTCACGCGATCCTCCCCAAGGGAGGGCTCATTTAATTCAATTTAAAAAAAAGTTATAGTCGGTACAACAACAATAATACAAAATTAACTCTAGGGAGCTGTTGAAACCGACTACACAGAAGACATATACATGTACATTCAAAATAAATTAAAGCAAAGATATTACATATCACTCATACTAAAGTATCGATAGTCTTTATATAATAGGTACAGGTGATGAGATGTTTAAGTGATGACATGTATAGGGACTGAGGAAGGCTTAAAGCCAGGCAAAACAACGGTGGATTTTGATCATCGTTAAACTAAACAATTGTTCTCCATTTTGTAGGATGGTTGGACGAGTTCATTATCATATAACTGTTGATATGGAGGGGCGAGAAGGCTTTCAGTTTCTGACGGGACGAAGTAGGGACACCACTACGTGGGGAAACAGGACAAAATGTCTCCCCAGTACCCCGTTTTAGCGTCAGATTTGGATGATCCTGTGGATCCATCAGCCTCCTGATTCCCTATCGGGAGTGGACACAACTAGCCCGACATGTACATTTGAAGGGGGCTCAAATAGTTTGCTTGCTTGCTACTCAAATGTAGTGTGATATTTTTCGTTTTCATATTGAATTATAGTCAATATGAAATATTGATGGACGTTAAAACACGCTCACAGCATCAAGAAAGTTGTCTGTTCGCCCATTTCACCTGAAGCCGCTCACAAAACGTCCACAATCCCAGATCATGCATCAAGTCCAAATTAATGAGCATAAAAGCTGGTATAACGTTCGGACCATCATCTCTCTTTGTGCATTGTTCGGACCATCTTCAATAGGTCATCCTTATTCGAAACACCTCGCCCCGATTACAGCGCGGTTGCCGCAGCTACCCGATATCCCGGAATCATCTACGCCCGTGATAGCCCCAGTCATGACGTCATAATAAGAAGGAGGCGGTATTGACCTGTCAACCATCGGTTCCACGTACGGGGGAGGATCCCTTCTGTAGTCATCAGGGGGTATGAGAGAACGTTCCGATTCTGTAACAAAGTAGAATATAAATAATAAAATTGAAATTGGAATAGTTCATTATGAAATTTTCAGGGGTGAATGAGTTCACGTTTATTTCAGAAATCAGCAGTTCAAATGCATATACATTCAGGTAAACGGAAGAAAGACATAGCCCTACAAATTATATCATCCGAATTAAAATAATAAAATAATGTGTTTGATGTTGATACCGAAACCTCGGTACATTGCATATCAGTAATTATAAATGGTAAAAACACACCTTATATCTACAGTGATGATATATACGAAATGTTACATTTCCACACTGGACAACATTAAAAAATTGTATCAATTTCATTTTGACCAATCAGAACAAAATATTCTATTCACTAAATTCCAAGCCGCTGATTTCCGGTTCTGCTGCCGACGAAGCGACGCTAAAGTTGATTGTTGTGTTTTTGTACATCTTTGGTACATATACAAAGTTATCAACATATCACTAAAAAAAATCAACATTTTTGCAAGCAAAAGGTACCAGATAAAAGCAGAAAACACAAGAATTTATCTTACCACTCGGAACTGTCAGGGTGATAGATTCTAGATTATAGACAGTTCCATTCGAAGAGGTTACTTCCGATTCTTGAGCGGGAGGCCGTGTCTGTTCCCTTTCTATAGCATCTCCGACTGGAAAACATGGACATTTTCGCCGATACTTTTTACGATAAGTGTAAAAACATCCCACCACTAAGAAGAAGACTGACAAAACTACGAGAAATATGATGCCATCGCTGAAGTCTGAAAAATAGGTTTTTTTTAAAAATAAAAAAATGGACAATTTTAGGCAATAACCTTTATCTTGGGATATATTTTAATTCAGATTTAGTTTTTCAATGCAGTAATATAAAGCAGAATACAAGCAAAAGATCATAGCGGGATTAATTAGTGTTTTACTCCCATTCTGTTACACTCCCAAATCCGCCAACAAGCCATGATTGCATGAAGTATAAGCGTTGATTGCATGTTTTACCAGCAAATCCAGAGTTGTCACCCATGGTCTGCTACTGTTGACGTGACGTCAATGCATTGGTGACGTGACGTTTAACTATTGTTATGACTTAGATCGCGCCATTCTGCGCAAGGCTATCTCCCCCTAGTGGGAACTAATATAATCTTCCCCTACCTTGAGGGTGTGACAGAGTTATCTCCAACATACATAACTGCTTGTTAGCCATCTTGTTTTTCATGAATCTCAGAATAACACCGGCAGGCCAAGAGACCAAGGGAACCTTCGTATAAAATTTGATAACAGATCTGTCCAGAAAGTCCAGAGAAATATGTCTCGCCTGTGCCCCGCATTGACCATCAATGCACATATCAAAGAAACTAACTTAGATGCTCATCAAAGTCAATGGATCATGAAAGGTAGGCCGCAGCCAGCATTTAATGCATGGGTTGAGATAAACTATCTAAGATGCATCTATGGTCCAGGTTTAGTTGGTCTAGCACTTATAGTTTTAGGGAAAATAACTTAAACACAAAAACTAAATGTTGACGCCGACGCCGCCAGAAAAAGCAACACCTTAGTCCTGCTAACTAAATTACAGCAGGACATAGACTCAGCAGGAAAATTGGGAGCACGAATGCTTTATGCAATTTCAACCCGACAAATGCAACATCATTTCCGCTTCCAATAAATGCACAAACCTGAAAGCACATTCAGCCCCTTCACTTCGTATGATGAAAATGTTGCATTTTATTACAATGTTTATATATTATATATGAAATTGCCTATTTATAGGTTTTGTTTTCTCGAAATAAAAAATGTCATGTGTACATGGTTAATCGTGTTATTTTACTTTTAAACAATGCACAGCACGGCCAGCGCCTCTGGAGGGAACAAGCTAGTTTTCAATGGCCGTCATCAATAACTCTCCAGCCAATCTATGCAAATTTCATAAAACAAAATCCAGGAATAATCTCCATTCAACATGAATACTTTTAAATTTCACTGCTGCATGAGTACGCATGAAATACACATTACAGACATTTCACACATGTTATTACCGTAACGATAGAAAGGTCTGAAACATAGGGGCCTGAGCATTTGTTACAGCTATATTTGGACCTAAACTAAGGTGTTCAAAATGCCATCCCACTTAATGTTATATACAAATTATCAGGTCCCTGTGGTCTGAACAGTGCATTTTAACTCAATGTACCTATTTGGAAGTAGGAAGAGGAAGTTGATGCAAATTCTGTAAACATTACTGAGACACGTACATAATTATTGAAATTGTATGACATGTTTGTGTATATTGGCTAAGAAATTATATCAGAATAATTTAAATAAAAAATCATCGACAGTCACCTACGAGACGCCACTGTGTAAAACGAAATAACTCTAAAACAAGTTCCTTATGGCGTAATACCATTATCTTTATATAGATTATAATCGCCTGAAGAGCCCCAGGATGGGCGAAAGCGCTAGCCGATTACACTAGTCTTCGTGTTTTGTTTTATCTATATTTTTACCGTCACATGGACATTTAAAACTATTTATCGCTAGATTATAATTTATATATCGGTCAACATTCTTCTGACGAAGACCAATGGCACTTTGCTGATGCAAATTGACATCACGGAAATAAGGATTGGGTTCTACTTTGGGTCGCCTTGGACCACTTATTTGGTAGTGGGGTAGGCTAATATTGGGTCGTATATATGGGGTAGTATTGGATAGTGGGGTATGCTAGTATTGGGTCGTATGGGGTAGTATTGGATAGTGGGGGATGCTAGTATTGGGTCGTGTGGGGGAGTATTGGGCCGTAAGGGATAGTATTGGATCGTATGGGGGAGGATTGGATAGTGGGGGATGCTAGTATTGGGTCGTATGGGGTAGTATTTGATAGTGGGGTATGCTAGTATTTGGTCGTATGGGGTAGTATTGGATAGTGGGGTAGGCTTGTATTGGGGAATATTGGATAGTGGGGTAGGCATGTATTGGGTCGTAAGGGGTAGTATTGGATAGTGGGGTAGGCTAGTATTGGGGAATATTGGATAGTGGGGTAGGCATGTATTGGGTCGTAAGGGGTAGAATTGGATAGTGGGGTAGGCTAGTATCGGGTCGTATTGGGTAGTATTGGATAGTGGGCTATGCTAGTATTGGGTCGTATGGGGTAGTATTGTATAGTTGGGTAGGCTAGTATTGGGTCGTATTGGGGAGCATTGGATAGTGGGGTATGCTAGTATTGGGTCGTGTGGGGGAGTATTGGGCCGTAAGGGATAGGATTGGATCGTATTGGGTAGTATTTGATAGTGGGGTATGCTAGTATTGGGTCGTATGGGGGAGTATTTGATAGTGGGGTAGGCTAGTATTGGGTCGTATTGGGGAGCATTGGATAGTGGGGTAGGCTAGTATTGGGTCGTATTGGGTAGCATTGGATAGTGGGGTATGCTAGTATTGGGTCGTGTGGGGCAGTATTGGGCCGTAAGGGATAGTATTGGATCGTATGGGGGAGGATTGGATAGTGGGGGATGCTAGTATTGGGTCGTGTGGGGGAGTATTGGGCCGTAAGGGATAGTATTGGATCGTATGGGGGAGTATTGGATAGTGGGGTATGCTGGTCAACATTCTTCTGACGAAGACCAATGGCACTTTGATGATGCAAATTGACATCACGGAAATAAGGATTGGGTTCTACTTTGGGTCGCCTTGGACCACTTATTTGGTAGTGGGGTAGGCTGATATTGGGTCGTATATATGGGGTAGTATTGGATAGTGGGGGATGCTAGTATTGGGTCGTATGGGGGCGTATTTGATAGTGGGGTAGGCTAGTATTGGGTCGTATTGGGTAGTATTGGATAGTGGGGGATGCTAGTAGTGGGTCGTATGGGGAAGTATTGGATAGTGGGGTAGGCTAGTAGTGGGTCGTATGGGGGAGTATTGGATAGTGGGGGATGCTAGTATTGGGTCGTATGGGGTAGTATTAGATAGGGGGGTAGGCTAGTATTGGGTCGTATTGGGGAGCATTGGATAGTGGGGTATGCTAGTATTGGGTCGTGTGGGGTAGTATTGGGCCGTAAGGGATAGTATTGGATCGTATGGGGGAGTATTGGATAGTGGGGTATGCTGGTCAACATTCTTCTGACGAAGACCAATGGCACTTTGATGATGCAAATTGACATCACGGAAATAAGGATTGGGTTCTACTTTGGGTCGCCTTGGACCACTTATTTGGTAGTGGGGGAGGCTAATATTGGGTCGTATATATGGGGTAGTATTGGATAGTGGGGGATGCTAGTATTGGGTCGTATGGGGGCGTATTTGATAGTGGGGTAGGCTAGTATTGGGTCGTATTGGGTAGCATTGGATAGGGGGGTATGCTAGTATTGGGTCGTATGAGGTAGTATTAGATAGTGGGGTAGGCTAGTATTGGGTCGTATTGGGTAGCATTGGATAGGGGGGTATGCTAGTATTGGGTCGTGTGGGGGAGTATTGGGCCGTAAGGGATAGTATTGGATCGTATGGGGGAGGATTGGATAGTGGGGGATGCTAGTATTGGGTCGTATGGGGGCGTATTTGATAGTGGGGTAGGCTAGTATTGGGTCGTATTGGGTAGCATTGGATAGTGGGGTATGCTAGTATTGGGTCGTGTGGGGGAGTATTGGGCCGTAAGGGATAGTATTGGATCGTATGGGGGAGGATTGGATAGTGGGGTATGCTAGTATTGGGTCGTATGGGGTAGTCAGAATTGGGTAGCACGGGGTATAGTACGGGTTAGTATTGTGTAGTAGGGTAGCATCTAGCATTGGGTCGTATGGGGTAGTGTTGAGTATATACTGGTTAGTATATATATTGGGTCGTGTGGGGTAGTATTGGGCCGTAAGGGATAGTATTGGATCGTATGGGGTAGTATTGGATAGTGGGGTATGCTAGTATTGGGTCGTGTGGGGTAGTCAGAATTGGGTAACACGGGGTATAGTACGGGTTAGTATTGTGTAGTAGGGTAGCATCTAGCATTGGGTCGAATGGGGTAGTTTTTAGTATATACTGGTTAGTTTTGGGTCGTATGGGGTAGTATTGGGTAATACGAGGTAGCATTTGATAGGGGGTAGTATATGGTAGTATTGTGCATTTAGACGCCCCCTCCAATCTAAGTGTATTATTTTTTATTTGACAAATATGTATGATAATCAATAGTTCATCTCGAAACAAAATAATAAAATACTCTAGAAAATGTCTGTAAGACATAAATACCCCCGCTGCCATGTGAAATTAGTTTCAGTGTTCTATAACAAGTTACAACCACTTTGATCTAGATACCCTGAAACATGCACACACACAAGGTACCACACTTAAAGTTGATAAGTTGATTTTAATATACATATGTTTTTTCTGTATGTTATTACCATCTCCATAACATATTGAATGAAGTTGCTAAGGGTTTGAATTGAATCAGTTGATGAATTTCTATATATAGCAACAGTAACCTTGGCCTTGACCTTGGAACCCTGAAACACAAGGATGTCAGAGGTTTGACCAAAATCTGTCAAAGAATGAAGTTAATAAGTGTTAATCGGGACGGGACGTGTGTTTACATTGAATCGGGACTGGACGCGACGCGACGGGACGGTACGGACATGGGCAACACTATGCCCCCCCCCCCCCCCCCCCCCCCCCCCTATTGTTGGGGCATAATTAAATGTTAAGTGATATTGTGCATATTAAGCAATACACATACCTGATAGTTCTTGAACCATTCTCCAAAAATAGCCATACCTGTATTTACCTATATTTACCTGCATTAGGTTATACTAATACCAGTCAGGAAGACCTGCGTATGATTGTCCTAGCTTGAATGCATTAAATGTCCCTCTCGTGCGTTTAAATAGAATAAAATTGTTATATTTGTATACATTATCATGTCTATTTATACAATGTAATCAGCCGCATTCGTTTATCGCGATTCAAACGGTTGAACCGATTGTACCAGAGATGTTCGTTTATGAAATAAGGTCGGACCTAGAAATCTGATGCTGCTTTCAGGTGACCCTTGCCAAAGCCTTGCAAGGCCTGCATAAAAATTTGCAGATCCGCCAGGATTTATACCCGAAATGCTACATTTAATCAGCCAAACCGGTTGAACCGGATACGAAAAGGGTGCTAGGGTTGGAGGCACCGGTGTTGGTAAAGCCTTACAATCTTAAAATGTTAGTGTCACACTTGTCAGATTGTGCAAACCGTTTAAAATACAATTACTATATCTTTACATTATAAATTTCATTAAGGATAAAAAATGGCGCTAACAACACCTGTATATTTTCGATCGATCCCGTTATCATAAATAAAATTATCGTCCCTATGGCTTGTTCATAAATACGGAAACTTGAACCGGTTTGTCTAATTTGAAATGCAATATTTCAGGAATAAAACCTGACGGACACTCAAATATGAGTGAAAGCCGTAACAGTCTTTGCCAAGTCTCGATCGACAGCAACACTTTCGTCCTTATTTGATAGCCAACTTATTTTGATTCAACCGTTTTGAACGCGATAAACGACACTAGCCATATGTCACTGCGATTATCTATTTGACTCTACCAAAGTCTTATTAGTATCACCACTGTGCATTCCGGAAGACGTGTTTATATAACTTCTAAAACGGGTAGCATTGAATCCGGATTAGAAATTTCCGGAATGCACCCGGGGTGATACTAATAAGACTTTGAAACTTATTATACACGAAGAAATATAAAAAAATACTAACCATTTATTAAAAATTATAGTAAAAAATGTATTGAGCATTTTAACCAAGAGAAGCTTACATGCATTCACAGAATTTACTTGAATAAAGCTGTGGGTAGCAACACCATTTTGCCACACTATGTTGAAAACTACAGCAAATTCAGTAGTTCTCCCCCATCCCTTATATTTAGATCTTCTTTGGATACTGGTATCTTTCCAAACCAATGGAAACAAGCTGTAGTGATGACTTCATTTAAAAAGTGGGACGACATAAATCTGCTAATTATAGACCAATAGCATTATTTAGCACTAGCACTGTTGGTAAAGTTTTTGAACGACTGATTGTAAAATATTTAAACAACTATTTGTTAGATATTTCATCAATATATAACTTCTAATATGGGTTCCAACCTGGTCACTCTACTGTTCATCAAACGATAGAAATTTATCACACATGATGCGAAAATTTAGAAAAAAAGGCATCCTACTGTTTATTTTTTTTTTGTGATATATCTAAAGCATTCGATCGTGTGTGGCACAAGGGACTGAAAGTGAAACTAGCTAGTTATGATATATCAGGAAAGTTATTAGACTGGCTAAGTTATTATGTTAGTAATAGACGACAGAAAGTTTTTTATTTGGTAGTGATAAGTCTTCTGTTAAAACTACTAACGATGGAATACTCCAAGGCCCAGTACCAGGCCTTTTACTTTTAATTTTTATATAAATGGTATATCTGATAATCTTGAAAGCTTGTCTAAATTATTTGCTGACGATACGTCTTTATTATGTTCTGATGCACTCCCCAGATTATCGAAACCAAGATTAATAATGATCTGGAAACAAAATCAAAATTGGGGGCGGATATTTGGCTGGTGAAATTCAACCCTGGGTAAGATCATCAGTGGGTAAGATCATCAGTAGGTAAGATCAGTAAGGTCATCAGTAGGTAAGATCATCAGTGGGTAAGATCATCAGTAGGTAAGATCATCAGTAGGTAATATAAGATCATCAGTAGGTAAGATCAAATTGCAATGTTTTTGTCCGGTGTCTGTGTCTGTCATTATGATCTATATTTGGCCAGTAGGCACCTAGGATGGAGTGCTATAAAGTTTCCTCATTTATATGACATTGACCTACTTTCAAGGTCACAGGGGTCAAAAATGTTAAAAATCTCAAACAACAATATCCTACGAACATTTCGGACTAGAGTCATGATACTTGGGTATGTTATGCAGACCAGCAGTGCAAATATTTTTGTTAGTTATAGTAATGAGGTCGAAGGTCAACTTTAAGTGCTAGTCAGGGGTCAAATGTCAACATGGGTAAAAGCTTTAACAATCTTTTCATAAGGCCCAGGGTCATGATATTTGACCAGCTGTGTGAATTGTATCCTTAATGACAGTAGTGAGGTCAAAGGTCAACTTTAAGTGCAAGTTGTGAGTCAAAGGTCAATGTGGGTTAAAAGCTTTAAAATTAAAAAAAAAATCATCATACAACAATATCTTCAGAAACGTTCAAGAGATGTTAAAATGTCTTTTGTTCTAGTTACCAAATTTGGTTTTAAGTTACCTATATATTAGTTTCATGTAACAAAAGAAACAGGTGAGCGGTACAGGCCCTCTGGGCCTCTTGTTTATACTTTATATGAATGACTTCAGTAAACATGTCCATCATTGTTCTGTCACTATGTACTCTGTCGATACAATATAATGTACCAACACAAAATGATCGAAATTCGATGTATATCGTTTGATATTATTGTAAGGTTATAAAGGTAATCTATGATATCTGCCAAAGATCATTATAAGCAATGGAGTAAACAATAAACCTCACCGGAGATGGACACGGCTAGCTGGCAGAGTCTGCAACTTCAAGTACCAATTGTCCATATATAATAGCTACCTGGTATATATAGTGAATCCTCCTTTGGGAACAACGATCTTTTAACATTATGTGATACTCTCCAATTGAAAAGAGATCATGCTCTCCTTTTGAGAGGAGGCATATATACTGTACTAACGAACTAACAGACAAAAATAATGTTCTTAGATGTACAAGCACACCGTATGAATTTATTCTTGCCAACACTATATTTTGCGGGTTGAAAAACAAACGACATGAAATAAGTGCTAACCGGCCAGACATTGACCTACTTTCAAGGTCACCGGGGTCAAATATGTCAAAAATATTCAAATAACTTCTTCTGAAGACCCAGACGGCCTAGAGTCATGCTATTGGGCCAGCACCATCCAGGGATGGAGCCTGACCAAGCTTTCTTTGTTTAAATGGCATTAACCTACTTTCAACATCTCAGTGTTAAAGTTTGGTTAAAATGTCTTGTATTCTAGTTATCAAATTTGGTCTGAAGTAACTTTAGCCCTTACAGTACTGTATATTTCAGCTCCTTGTAACAAAGGAAGCAGGTTAGTGATATGTAAACCACACACACACTCAAGAAGTCCTCCCCCGGGGTATAGGACTATCAAGTTTGTTCAAATCAAACTGGGGTAATACATGTACATTTGACCTTGTACTTGAGGGGCTTCTTATATGGTAGTTTATGTGTTACTTTGGTAAACTTTCTTTTCCAACAGTGTCAACGGGTACATGGCATGGCACAGTAGATATCCTCCTGAACCACACAATTGCTGTGACAGTTCTAAAGGAGCTAACAGACAGAGTAGAAGAAAATGAAGATGATGATAGCAATACAGATAAAGATGAACCTGAAAGAAAAAACAGAAAAGCAGATAGTTGTGATATCTGTGTAGATATTTGTGATACCTGTGTAGATAGTTGTGATACCTGTGTAGATAGTTGTGATACCTGTGTAGATAGTTGTGATACCTGTGTAGATAGTTGTGATACCTGTGTAGATAGTTGTGATATCTGTGTAGATAGTTGTGATATCTGTGTAGATAGTTGTGATGTCTGTGTAGATAGTTGTGATATCTGTGTAGATAGTTGTGATACATCAGTAGAATGTTGTGATATCTGTGTAGATAGTTGTGATACCTGTGTAGATAGTTGTGATATCTGTGTAGATAGTTGTAATATCTGTGTAGATAGTTGTGATATCTGTGTAGATAGTTGTTATATCTGTGTAGATAGTTGTGATACATGTGTAGATAGTTGTGATATCTGTGTAGATAGTTGTGATACCTGTGTAGATAGTTATGATACCTGTGTAGATAGTTGTGATACCTGTGTAGATAAGTGTGATACCTGTGTAGATAGTTGTGATAGCTGTGGAGATAGTTGTGATATCTGTGTAGATAGTCGTGATATCTGTGTAGATAGTTGTGATGTCTGTATAGATAGTTGTGATACATCAGTAGAATGTTGTGATATCTGTGTAGATAGTTGTGATATCTGTGTAGATAGTTGTGATAGCTGTGTAGATAGTTGTAATATCTGTGTAGATAGTTGTGATATATGTGTAGATAGTTGTGATAGCTGTGTAGATAGTTGTGATATCTGTGTAGATAGTTGTGATACCTGTGTAGATATTTATGATACCTGTGTAGATAGTTGTGATACCTGTGTAGATAGTTGTGATAGCTGTGTAGATAGTTGTGATAGCTGTGTAGATAGTTGTGATACCTGTGTAGATAGTTGTGATACCTGTGTTGAGGCAAAAACAACCAAGAAGCATGACATTGTGCTCCTTGAAAACAGTTTCATGAAGCGATTTTTGGCTGAAGCTATCACAAATGCGTTTGCTCAAGTTAAGGTGCATAAGGATACGCTATCACATTTCATGATTCCAACATTTGGAACCACGTCGGAGCATGTATCTATTTGTCTGTATGACTCTGAAAACGACCACTTACTGCACATCAAAGAGCAGCTTAGGTTATGGGACAGGTGTCCAGATGGGATGTACATGTCAGCACAGCTAAATACCGATACCATAGTTGTCATTTGGCTTTTCTTGAAATTCACGATTTTTACCAAGAAAAACCTCCATGCTTCATTAGATCTGGACAAGTCAGGATTACATGAGAATTTAGATGAATATCTTGAGTTTTACAGAATTGCAGACACAAGAAGAAATTTTGTTTCA